TGGGCATCATGGCGGCAGCCCCGTGGGTTGCTGGGATGGGGCTGGGGTGGGATTTGGGAGGTCCTCGCCCTTCCCCCCACCCTGCTTCTCTGGGATTTCGGAGACCCCTCTCCCAGGACAAGGTGGGGGGAGGGGGATTTGGGGTTATTGGGTGTCGTCTCGTTGGAGGTGACCTCCGCCATGGGGGTTCTTGGGCACCACCTTATTGGAGGTGACCTCAGGGACGAGGTTCTTAGGCATTGTCCTATTGGAGGTCACCTCGGGGACAAGGTTATGAGGTATCATTGGAGGTGACCTCCAACATGGGGGTTCTGAGGTGCCACCTTATTGGTGGTGACCTCAGGGCCAAGGCTGTGAGGTGTCATCTTATTGAAGGTGACCTCCGTCATGGTGTTCTTGGGCATCATCTTATTGGAGGTGGCCTCAGGGACCAGGTTATGAGGTGTCATCCTATTGAAAGTGACGTCCAATGGGTTCTTGGGCGTCATCTTATTGGTGGTGACCTCGGGGACAAGGTTTATGAGGTGTCGTCTTATTGAAGGTGACCTCCAACATGGGGGTTCTTGGGTGCCATCTTATCGGAGCTGACCTCGGGGACATGGTTCTTAGGCATTGTCCTATTGGAGGTGACCTTGGACATGGTTATTGGGTGTCATCTTATTGGAGGTGACCTTGGGGGAGCTCAGATAACACCCCGAGACGCCGTCCCCGGCAGAGCTGCTTTATTCCTCCGAGGACTTCCCCTGCCCCACGCAGGGAGGTCACCAGCTGTGGGGCAGGCAGCGAATTCGTACCCGTCCCCAAAACAAGGCTGCGGGGACCCATGGGGGAGGGTGGTTGCTGGTGGCCGGGCGCAGGGTGCTGCCCCCCACCCCCCCCCGCGACCCCGTGGTCCTTCAGGCCTCCTTCTGTGGGGCCTTGTCCTGGGGCTGGAGGGGGATCTTCTCTTTGGGGTCATCCGTCTTCTTCCGTTTGGCCCTGGAGGGAGGAAGAGGAGGAGGAGGAGGGTCTGTGGGGCATGGCGGGATGGAGCGGCCGGCGGCAGGGTGGGAAGCAGCCCACCTTGCGCCACGTCCATCCCTCTGTCCAGCCATTCAGCCACTCCTATCGCTTGTTCTTCTGCCAACGCACCCATCCACTTGTCCCTCAACGTACCCGTCTGCCCACCCATCCAAAACCCCTTCATCTTTCCGTCCGCCCGGCCCTCCGTCCATCAGCCGTCAATCATCCAGCCATCATCTGACCATCACCCATCCGAAACCCCACCCCCCCTTTGCCTACCAGCCTACCCCTCCATCCATCAGCGTATCCATCCAGCTGCTCGCCTCTCCGTCCATCCCCCAAATCCAGTCGTTCACCTACCCCTAGCTCCGTCCGTCCGTCCGTCCGTCCATCCCCCCCTCCTCCCCCCTCCTGCCACATGCCCACC